TTTAAAATCTGTACATCTTCTGTTTCCTGGTGGCAGCCTTAGGGGTCACATTGAAGTTAGAGACACATTCATCCTCAGTCCTGCCCCTAATGGGGTTAGCAGCACTGTAGTGGCTACCCTCACCCCTGTCCTGTTCTGAGAATGTGGTGCTTTGGTGGACCACCTGCTTCAAACCTGCCCCCTATAACTCAGAAACTATCTGACCTTTTCCTGCACAAAATACAGCAAGGATTCTGGGTCTCCACAAACAAAAAGGGGTGAATACTGAACCTCACAGAACAATTTCTTGGCCAGCATGGAGGCTGCAGGTTGAGTCGATTCTAGGCCGGATTCAAATCTAAACCTAAACCCTGCTGCCTGCTGTGGCCAGAGACCTCCAATCTCTACAACATCTATCAACAGCGTAACCATGTTACTAGGGCTGAGGTGGGAATTAAATAGTCCCACCATCCTCAGAAAATCTACGTGTTTCATTCTTTTGTAGATAAAATTTCTAGGCCAGTAATAGCCACCCCAAACACCAGCTGTGCATATGGTCCTACATGGCACAATCTGGGAGACTTATGGATTCCACAATGACTTCTGGGGTGTGGGTGAGGGTAGGAATAGGTACTGTTGGAACAAAGGCAGACAGGAAGTTAGATTTGGGAGTGGGTGAAGCTATGTGGAGACTCATGGACCAAGGTGGGAAGAGAAGCTGACAGAGGGGAGATATTTGGAGGGATTATGGGATGAATAAAGGGGGGGGGTTCAGACTCAGACATCTGAGTCACCCTAGGGAGCCATACCCAGCTCTGACATGGAACCTGAAGTGTCTCTCCCTTTTTAAGATCTGTGCCCCCATGTCACTACTGGGTACTTCCTATGTCTGGGGCACAGGATACAGCCAGGCATGTGAGCACACACAGCGGTATCGCGTTGCCAGGAAGGGACAGTATAGGAGAGCCAGCAACCCAGCTTAAGGAGCCTGTGGCCGGCATAGGCAGAAGACACAAACCTTAGAAGAGGCAGGGATGGCATCGGCCTGGAGGGGGACGAGAGGACCAGAGGTTTGCTGGTGGCATGCGCTGGAAGGTGGAAGTCAGGGCCATGCATGAGCAAAGAGTGGTGGGAATTGAGGTCACACAGGGACAGATGGCAGAGTCCTCACGGGGACCTGGGAAAGCAGCTGGGGGATTGGCCCAGAGCAGGAGTCTTGGGTACAGGAGAATTTAATCATGATGAAAAAGGGTGAGGAAGATGGACAGAAGAGAGATGAAGAAGGCAGTGATGGGACTGAGTTGGACTCTTCTCCTTCCTAATGGCGAAAGATAAAGGGCAGATCACCATAGTAGGCATGGGCTCCATTCAAAGGGCAGGCTGTCCCCTACCCTAGTGACCTGCAAGGGGGCACCTGGCTGGAGAGGTTGAGCAGAGCCCCTCAGAACCTGGAGCCCAAGTTTTTATTCTGACACAGAACAATGAAATTGCCACCACCCAGTTGGTATATGTTCTAGAACTTTCTCCCCTTCGGTCAGGGGTACAAGTAGTTTTTCAGAGAGAAAAGCCACTACAACAGAGGTTGCTGGACATGGTTCAACCTGATAGCAGCCTCACCTACCAACCCACAGTGTGAAGGTCTGAAATGGGAATCACTGACTGAATATTCTACATGTGCTTGGAAGGTAGTTTTGAGTTAGTAGGAAACACTGCCCCCAAGAGAGGTCATCTAGCCTTCCCAGCCTGCACTCCTCCGAGGGAGCTGACCCTGGGTGAGGGCCTGTGGTACCCAGAGCAATATCTATCAGCTATTATAGCAAACCTGGCTGTGGGAAGTTTCCAACAGGGGTCGACCACTTTTACTCCAGAGGCTGAGCAGACAAGGATGGCCGCTAGGATCCTGACTTTGAAAAACTTCACAGAAGCTGCCAGTCCCTGCCCCTCTGCCTTTGGATTACATCCCATGCCCAGAGTGCTGGCAGATCACTGGGCTCTGGCAGCGCTGCATCAGCAGAGCCCGGGTTGGCATCCTTCCTTCAGTTCCCCGTTTTCAGGCCCCAGAGAGTGAGCTGGTACCTGGAACACTGCACTACAGTTACCTGCATCCGTGGTCCCCGGCAGCTGATCGATGAGTCCAGCCCCTGAGGCTCCATTTACAGGGCTATTTACCGTCTTGGAAGTGTTTGTGACCGTGGGGCTCCTGGGCTCATTCTTGAGCATGCCTGACATCTAGTCCTCTGTTCTGCAAGCCCACACATGTCCTGTCCTGGGCACTGTAGTCTCTGACCTGATGATGTCTCCATGCTCACAGCACTAGGAAACAGTTAATATTTTTGGACCCAGTTTATAGGTTGAGAAACTGAGGCACAGAATGGTTATATCAGTAAAGCCAGACTCATCATCAAGTCACATCAGAAGTGGTATTCTGACCCCGACTCTGACTCCAACACATACCTGAGGAACACTAAATGGAGGCCACCCTTCTCATGCAAAACTTGGAGGGTACACCAGCGTGCTCCTGACGTGGCCGCTAACAGCTGTTGAATGCCATGCACCAAGCTGTTATCCATCCCCATGGTTGGCATCCTCACAGCAGCTTTTAGAAGTCCACTTACAGTGGTATGTGCCTGTGATCCCAGCACTCTGGAGACAGAGGCAGAAGGATTGGCTATCAGTTCAGGGCTAGCCTGGTCTATATCATAAGTGCCTAGACTACATGTCAAGACTCCATCTCAAAAATA